GCATTCCTTTCCTCCAGGGTATCAACCGAACCACACAGCTTGGTGAAATGGACCCAAATGTAGGACTGCGATGCCCAAATAAGTGTCCTCCTTGAGAAACAAGCATGCCAAAGGGAGAAGAAATCAACACCAAGATGCTGCATATTCAAATTTCTACCACCAGCTGTTCTCCTGCAGTGATGATGATGAAAAAAATTGCTATTTCCATTCCATTAATGCTTCCTTCTCAATTTTCAAAGCTCCTTTTCTCTTCAGCACTAGTAAAAACTCTTCTCCCTGGAGCAGTATGAATCCCAAAAGAAAGCTACTCCAGGATATGTGGCTGCAAATATACTTAGTGAAATCATATAAAAGTTGCTCAAATAGGAATCAAGCAGGTACTTCAGCAGTTCTGGATATCTCTGCAGAGAACTGGAAGCTTGGTTATGAAGCACTACAGCTTACCCATTGAAAAGAAATTTCGCTCTAGAAAAGGGTGAAATGGAGCCCCAGAGATTAATGTTTAATTTTCTACTATTTTGTTTCGTCTTACTATTTTACTGTGAGACTGAAGATAAAGGCTGAAAAGTGCTTTAAATAAGGCCATTATAATGGGGGTACTATCCATTCTATCTCTACAGATAAACCTGTGACCTGACTGTCACTTAAAGAGCCCTCCAAGCCAGCTTGTAAAAGCAGTTCCACAGTGACACAGTCCTCCCTGCCGAGAGCTGCAGGGATCCAAACAGCAGCCTCTAACCATGGAAATAAAGGCCTGGTATCATGGAGTCTATCTCCTAAGAACCTGAGCGCGTTTGAAACTCCTAACCAGCTGCTGTATTTGCAGAGGGTGGTGCCAAATGCGTATGTGCACACAGGCACCCACCCACCTTTGCAGAGAAAGAGCGAGCACCTTGCACAGAATCCACTGAAGGCACCTCTGCTTCCTCTCCCACAAAGAAAATTTGACCTGCACTGTGTAACTAAGGAGGAGGCACAGTCATGTCCCTGAGAGCCTCTACCATCAAAGACAAGTGAAAGAAATGAATGTGCTTCATAGTGCCAAAGACAAAAAACGTATGATACTGGTATACTCTCCCTAGATATTAGCATCTTTAAAGAGGTCTTTCAAGAAAAAGAATTGGAAGCAACAAGATGTACTTGTCTGAAAAAAAACCCAAACTTGCTAAAAAACACATGTTGTTATTTTTATTTACCAAATTAATACAGACAAGAAAAAAAATTTAAGTACACTAGCTTTGGATTAGAAGAAAGGGCTTATATAAAATACTACTCTGAGTGCAACTGAATAGAAATGCAACCAACATTTGTGCAGTAAATCTTATCCGCACCAATTTTGTTTCTTCTTATTTTTCATGCTTGCTTTTCATTGGTTAGGCTCATGTATCACAATTGAAATAGGACTAGTCAACAAACTAGAAAAAATAATGATTTTCATATGGTAATAAAGAGTGCTGTTACTTTATCTGCGTTCTATACTTGAGCGAACTACTGGAAATTAACTCTGTTAATTTGCAAGCTAACCAGTGTCCCTAGAGAAGTAAACTATAGAGTATCTGAGCATTAAACTCAGGAGCAAGTGGGTGTAAAACCCTGCAGAGACATAACATGCATATCCAGCCACCCCTTGCCTATATTCGGGTTCTTTCAAGGCACAAGACTGTTGGATTAAAGCCTGACATCTATGCTGGTGACTGCCAGTCCTCACTGATATCTGAGAAAGTGAATGTTAGTGAGAGAATGTAAAAGGCATCTCCAAGTCATGCAGTGCCTCTGAAGAACTGGATTGCATTAACAGAAATGGCAAGCAGCACAATTCCTCTTCTGGAGACTTTAAATACTGACAGTCTTCTTTCCATCAAAATACTGACAACTGAGCCATTCAGTAAGAAAGAATACAGTCTAAAGAGAACACATTTGTGATGCAAAGCCAAGAAGAAATACTGTCTGAGAGGGAAAAGTGTGTGTGTAAGATTATGCCTTATGTTTCTGTAATAGTCTATCTGAATTATATGTATGTGTATAAACCTAAATACACTATAGATATGGGTATTCCTACCTGTTTGCAAGGGTGGCACAGGCACTGTGATTTACAAAGCAGACACAACCTATTTGCCATGAAGGTTCTTCTCCAGTGCCAAATTTCATTCCAGCCAGTATGTGGATTTACTATTGCAACACAGACCTATCGCAAGACACACCTTTGCTCACTTGTGAGGCTTTTGTGTCATCTCTCAAAACCCCAAAAATGTAACTGGAAAAACTTTCAGTGATTTCAGTGGCTTATAATTTGGCTCAGAGAATAAATGTGAACTGAGGGTTGTAGAGTTCCAGTTATTACTAATTACTGCAGCAATAAATTATACAGAGTTTACATTTCAGAGCAGGTGGTTTGCTTCGGTGTTTGATGAATTGTATTTACCACCCAGTTTTGAACCTAAACTGAAGGAGCTGTGGTTCTTTAACTTCTATAAGCTAAGCTTATAAGATGAACCTATGAAACAGGTTTAGTTTTCAGCCTTCAGTTTCCTTACAAGATTAAAAGTTGAGCTTTTATGATAGCATGTGCCTGTTTCTTTTAATTGGCAGATTGAAAATAAAACCAAATGTATGCTCCTCAAGAGACACCAATCTGAAGGCTACAGGAATAGCATCAGAACAGAGGTCCTGTTCCCAATGGCTGGCTCCCTACAGCCTCTGCTACCAAATTCTTTATCCTCATAACAAAATGTCAGTATACCTTTTCAAATGACTGTCAATACTTATAGCTACTATTATACAGACCTGTTGCTACATTGTAATGCACAGCAGGATGAATCACTGATGCATTACAGAACAGCATATACTGACTGTATTTAGAGACACACTGAGATGATCTCCAGATTTCAGAAGGTTTGTATTTGCAAATTCCTGGAGAATACAAAACCTATATATGTTATTACTTTGTTGCTAAAGTTTAAAATAAGCAGCAAAGAAGCAGAATTACTCTTCCACCATCCACTGGCCTGCAGCCTGGAAAGTGACTGGGACATCCCACAATGTCACACGACACTTCAAGTATGAAAATGTATGTATATAATAATGACCTAAGGGGACAGTGCAAAGTTTTATGTAACTCATTTTCCCCCAGTATTTTTGTCTTAAGTTTACAGATCTAAACAATAGTTCTTTTTAATTTGGGCAAAATTTTCCTTCCACTTGGCAGGTCTCTCCTTGGCAGCATATTTTTCTTGCTATAACCCAAATTTTCCAATTCTCAATTTCATGCCATTACTCTTAAAATAGTTCTTCAACCTTGTAGTGCCCTAAATTATTCATATTCCCCTTTAATGTTTAAGGTTTTCGAGTATTTTCCGATTTACTTCTGTTAGGCACCTCTTGGTCAAATTAATATATATGTTTACCCACTTGCCTTAAATAACAACCAAATATGTCTCTTGGTTGATTTTCCCATTTAGCTTTTTCTCTAACTTGGCAACCTCTAAATTAGGTGTTTGTACCATGGGTGCACTTAAAGTTCAAAATGAGCATGAGAGGGGAAACAAACATTAACAAATGTAGTTTTGTTTTTTGATATATGAAGCTTATAAAGAACTTTGCATAATCATTGGAAAAATTTAGAACTATTTTTTTACAGCTATGAAGAATGATTATACACAAAAAGCAAGCCAAATACACTATGAAACAACACCAGTGTTGCGTCCCAGTGCTAAGAAGGTTGGAAAGTTTGCCTTTGTACACTGCATTTGACAATGATGACCATATTTGCTTGAAAAAAAAATCTGAATTGCCTTCATTACACATACCTCATTATTAAAAAGCATTGTGGCATATCTTAACACTTTGAATAAAACCAAGCTATAGCTTAGAACAGTTGCAATTTACTGTGTACCTTGACTTACCACTTAATCTATAAGCTTGGCAAAATAGTTAAAAGTAAGTACAGCAAACACTAGCAACTTATTTTGCTACTTGCCACTTTCAAAATTTAACAGCAGTATAAAAATACAAGCTGAAAGAGGAAAAGCTTACTTAGAGGATAACAGCAGAAAAGATGCACTAATTTCAGGTTTTATGTGCATTAAACATAGGAACTACCACCATAACTTTTTGTTTAATAAACGTTTTATGAAATAGTTAAATAGCTGCTTTAGTGAAAGAACTGGATAAAGTTACTCTAGAAAAAGCCAGGGCATGTTAAACGAAAATTAAACCACAAACTATTAGTCAACTGAAGCCAGCTACGAGAGGGAACACTGGCAATTCCTGTCTTAGCAAGAGCATTAAAAAAGTCCATTTTGGTAAGACTATAACTGAAGAAAACCTAACAGTTGTTCCAAGTAGTGGTACATGCTGAATTTCCCATGGGACTACTGATGTTTAGCAAATATACTCAACTAAAGAATATTCTTAATCTTTTAAATTCCTTGAGAATCCTTAAACAACCATATTTCCAGAGGGGAGGGGGATTTATTGTCCCACCCATCCCCAAAGTGACTTTTCACAACCAGTTGTCTATCACTAGGTTAGGCTGAAAAGCAACTACAGACATATATTGTTCCGTAGACTTCTCATGATAGACAATTTGGAGTTTATTTTCCAGTGTTAAAAGTCCAGAAAGCATTTTTTTAGGAAACCCAAGAGCACAGAGAGAACATATATGGAAACCTGTTATACTAAAGGTTTATTCATGCTGGGAAGGGCTCTGTAACTATCTTTGATATTTGAGCACAACATTTACATTTGACAGACAAAGTGAATATTCAGATCAAGCACCGCAGTTAACCACAACATTGAAATACCAGTTCCAATTCATAATATAATATGCCTAAATTAAATTAATTAAAAAACAAAAAGCATTTTTGATTGCTTACCCATAACGGTTTTGTGTGTTTTAAAGCATTCAGAAACTTCACTAGGTGAACTACATCATGCTCTTCTGAGTGATGAACATAAAGCATTTCGTTTAATTTTCAACAGGAAAAAATGTGTCCACTTACATGATTTCTTTTATTTTCTCCATCTTTTATAGATGTAATAACTGTCTCAGAAAAAATTGTTGATCCAGTTTTGTTATCTGTAACCTGATGCGACAAAAGAAGAACAAAATATCAGACTACAATTTTTATTACTCCTTTGTTACTCTCAGTCCTACGTTGTGCAATACTTAACTCACCCGCTCCCTTTTTTGCTCCATTTTGCTGTCAATCATATAAAATCCTAATCTGGAGGAAAAAGTAGATTACAAGGCTACCTTCTTATCTATTCAAAATGTCACTGTAAGGAAGCTGAGTAGGAGATGGTCTTTCTTTTATGACCCATGTAATAGCTCTACCTGTGTTCTATTTTCAGAAGGAACTTTTCTCAAAATGATTATTTCACATTAACCTTTCATGACATGTGCCCCTACACAGTGATTAGTCAAGCAAATAAGAGATAATAAAATCCCAAAGTAATGATGATCAGGAAAGTATATGCTCCAAATTATTTTATTTCTTCCCAAAACACAAAAAAAAAATTATTTTTGAAGAAAAGGTGTGTAAGAACCAGCAGCTTGCTATATACATGTTTTGCTATGTATGTTTTCTCATACCTTGTCAATCTCTTGATGAGTCTGAACAGTTTTATTGCCAATTCTGGTTTCCGTGTTTGACTCATTATGGTAGTTGGGAGGTAGGTTTTCAAAGTTTACTTCTGACAGTTTTTTTGCTCCTTCCTCTTCAGCTTCCATCTGCCAAATTTAAATAAACCAACTGAAAATTAGCAACTATTACACAAAAGAGCAGTGCTTCTTGTGCAGCCCTCAGTAACACCCTGTTTAATTATGTGATGCTGTTAGCACAGATCCCCCTGTATGGGTACGCTTCCTCAGCTGTTTCAGACAGTGACAGCAGCAGCTTGTTTAATGGACTAGAAAAACAATGATGAGCTAAATCCTTGAGCTCTGGACTGTTTACGCCAAAGTCAGTCTCTGTGAGGATAATGTGTGCAAAGACTAGCGACAAATTGGTATCTGCACAGGTTGATGCCGGTCAAGAGCCCAGCTTTCTGTTTTCCCCAGAAAACCACTAAACACTTCAGACACACTTTCCCATTTGACAAAGAAAATGTTCTGGCAGGGCAGAGACATAGCCAGAGCCCCCAAAGTCAATAGAAGCAGTCCTATAGATCAGGGTGCATGCATCCAGAATTTCATTCTCCACTTCAGTTCCCACAGTCTTTGCCAGATGAAGGCTCAACAAGAAAGTGAGTGCTCTCTGAATCAGAAAACAGAGTAAGGTCAGCAAAAAAGCATTGTAAACAACACAAACTGTGAGTAAGTTGCATCCCATTGTTATTAGCAACTGCTGTGCTAGGAGGCCACAAGTTCAGCCAGTCTGAACAACAGGATTTTTCCCAAGACAAAATTTCTCTTTCTGGTACGTCTGTTTATTTTAAATGACAGCTGCCAACCTTTTTGTGTGCAAAGTTTTTATCTGCTAAGATGCAGTCCAGACAACCCACATTTTGTGCTGTGTACAGGCCATGCCTCAATCCAGAACTGAAAACAGAAGAATAAAACAGGCAGAAATTTTGACTAGATCTTTATTTTAACCAAGCATATTTTGGGCATTGTAAAGAATACTTTTTAAAAGAATGAAAAGAATGGTTTGTCTCAATGTGTTTGCAGTCTAAATAAAGGGAATGACAGAGGCAGATTTCAGTAACTGTCCAGAAGACAGTAAAAGTTCAGAAATTATATAATTATAGTAAACAAATGTCTGTTTTCCCAGTGGGTTGTTAGTAAAAGATGGTTTTGGACCATGTAAATTTTGAATGAGAGGAAAAAAGAGTTTGGAAGGAAGATTCTTAACACAAAGGGGGGAAAAATGCAAAAGTAAGGGGAATGCAGGAACAAGGTCTTTGAAAGGGGATCTAAGACAATAGCTCGGGGTCTAGGCTGAGTTCCTGGCTTTGAAACAGGTCCTCTGCAATTCTGGGTAGGCAATTTGAGATCAAGATACAGAAGGCCCCTGAGCAACCTGGTCTAATGGAAAGATCATCCCTGCCTGTATATGATCTTAAGGTCCTTTCCAACCCACACCATCCTATGATTCTAAGCCGCTTCTACACATGTGTCTTCAGGACTGTCTTACACTTTCAGATCCTGGTTTGGGATAACCTCTTGTTATTGTCTTGGTTCTGTACAAGGACAATAAAGTAGCTCTTCACTTCAGTCCTCCCCTTGCCACGTACTGCTGTTTTCTCATTTTCTGAACCAGGCGGGCTATTTGCCTTAACCTTCGCCTCACCATCTGCCCTGATGGCTTTACAGTGGAACCTCCGGACTGCAGCAGCCGAGGGTCGCAGGAGTGCGCGGGCTATGCGAGGAGCGGGGTGGGAAACCCTGCAGGGGAGCAGAATAAGGTCAAGAACTGAGGGGAGAACTTCCACCGCAGCAGGGGCCACTCCGGCGCCCCGCACCTCCCGCCTCTCTGCCTGAGGAGGGCGGCTGCGCCGGGCGGGGGAACCGCGGCTCTCGCCCTCCTCAGGCAGCGGCTCCTCACAGGGGGGCGCGGGCACGGCCGGACGCAGGCTTCCTTTGTGGCACGCATGGAGCCGGCCGCGCTGAGGGGACGCGGGGAGGCGGCTCCTCACAGGGATCGTCGAAGACGAATGAGTGAGAGACTCGCGCCGCTGCGCTGCCCGCACGTGCGGTGCGGCCCTGCCCAGGGGGCTGAGGGAGGAAGGGTCCCCCACACCCAGCCCCCGCCTCACCTCTTGCACCGCGTTGCGCAGCTTGTGCTGCGTGTCCTCCATCAGCGCCTCCACCTCCCGCAGCATCTCGCCCAGGCTGGCCGCCCGCCGCCGGCCGCTGCCCCCCGCCGCGGCGCAGCATATTTCCCCCAGCACAGCCGCCAGCAGCAGCCATCGCAGCCCCGCTCCCCGCAGCATCCCTATGGCGCCGCTCCCGCCGCTGCCCCTCAGCAGTGCGGGCTGGCTCTCGGAGGTGGGGCGGGGCTGAGCGGGAGCGGGCGGCACCGCAGCGCCGACCTAGCTCCGCAGCCTTCCGCCGGCTCCGCAGCGCCGGCCCACACCGGGCTGGCCCTGCCCCTGCCGGCTCCACAGGCCGGCCCGGCCCCCGCGGGAACCCGCAGCCATGAGTGAGAGGCACGGCAGGGAGCAGGACCTCGGGCGGGAAGCTGCGCCCTGGGGAAGCGGGAAGGGCTGAGGGAGGTGGGGGAGAGATGCTGAGGGAAAGGAGCAGTAGCAGCTTCGCGTTCAGACCCGAGCCCGCCCTTCTGATAATTTTTTTTTTTTAACAGGTTTAATACGAATAGGATGGCGCTTCATCCTGGAGACGAGAAGGCTCAAGCGAGATCTTACAGCAGTACCAGGACCTAACGGGCCAGCACGAAATCTGGAGAGGGGCTTTTGACAAGGACAGGGACAAGACGAGGGGGAATGGCTTTAAATGGCAGAGGGGAGATTTAGATTAGATACACGAAGAAGTTTTTTCCTGTGAGGGTGATGAGGCTCTGGCACAGGTTGCCCAGAGAAGCTGTGGATGCACCATTCCTGGCAGTGTTCAAAGCCAGGTTGGATGGGGTTTGGAGCAACCTGGTCTAGTGGAAGGTGTCCCTGCCTGTGGCAAGAGTTTGGGACTAGGTGAGCTTTAAGGTCCCTTCCAACACAAACCATTCCATGACTCTATGATTATTTTCTTTCCAGTCTTCACCAATGGTTTTCAAAAGGTGTTTCAGCATCAAGGATCTCTGAGAGGTGATACATCCTGGATTTGTTGGCCAGCACCTCACTCTCCCTGGTTGTTTCCTTTCAATTTTATTTCTAAAAAAAACTTCAGACAACAGCATAATTTTGTACCTGTGTGCTTCTTTCTGTTTTCCCACATTATTCTTCTTCTTCATGCTGCACCCCAAGAATTTAATGGACAGTTTTTGCTGCAGTCAGTGCACTGCTCCAGGGCAACACTGTTGTGCCAAGAGAGAATTGACCTGTAAGGCTCATTTTGGTTTGGAGCCTGGGTGAAAGGTAATTGTGAGTAAAGTATTTCTGCAGAAACTATTTAAGTCTTGCAAATTTCCTGCAAGTGGATTATTACAATAATCACCAACATAAAATCCAGTGTTATTGGCAGCCAAAGGCAGCTCCATTCAGCTCTTACTGCTAGCAGAAATGCTATAGCATTTCTACACTAGAGGAGGAGTAGGGTGCTGCAGCACCCTCAAGTGCTTACATTTGCCCTTTGCCCTGGAGCTGCCGAAGTCCCCTGGACAGCCATAGGCACAGGGGTGCTGTACCTTGCTCTTAAGTTGAGCTGGTGAGACGTGAACCACGTTTAGTTCACAGTGATGCCGTGTCGTGCCTGAGCTCATTAGCCTTACTGAAAGGCAGGTATAGACGTTAGGGTATGGTGCTGTGCTAGCAGCCTGATGTGATTCCAGGCATGATTAGGTTCTTCCCTGAGTTTGAAACTCGGTACTTTTCCCCCCATATCACTTGATCTGCCCGGTGTAGGGATGTTGCAAACTAAGAGGAAAAAATTATTGTAGATGGCAATGCATCTAAACCTTAGGATTTTTAATTATTACTCTTCATCTTCCTTCTTGGCTCAGTCCAGAGTGCCTATCCAAATGGGTTTATCTACATGGAAAATTTTGGGGTGCACATTTATTCTAATATGGTTGTATTAATATAAATTCCCAAGTCTGCATACTCATACTCAGTACCCAGGTACAGTTTTGGTTTACAGTTAAGTCATAACAAAGCGTGCAGGTAACATGACAGCTGTTACTGGTTTATTTTTCTTTCAACAGAATAGCTGCTTTATAGATATGTGTACAGCAGTAAGGAAAATAGCTATACTTGTATAATTATACAAACATACAACCTAGATCAGAGCCTGAGATACTTTAATTACTTATACTGAAAATACTACACCTAGATTATCTCCCCCTGAGGTTAGTGGGAAAATTACCATAAATTTCAGTGAGATTTACACTCTTTTAAGCAGAATTACTGAGGACCAGAAATAGCTTGTAGTATTGAGCACCTCTTCTGGTCATTTATTCTGCATTTTTCATCTTGTACGATTAAAGCAACAGTGACAAGCACCAAAAAAAAAAAAAAAAAAATTCATCTGTACTTAATGTTACAGAACCCTTTAATCAAGTCATTTGCATTTTCACAGCAGGAAGAAAGCCATATCTGTATTGAAAATACTGCTATGGGACTGGTGCGAAGTCTTGTTTCAAATTATGTTTGGTAAAAGATGTCACAGAATATGTTTTGAACTATAATAAATTTTCATAGCTAAAGTACAGCCCAGAGAGCTGATATTTTACTCAAACAAATTAACACAGCTAAAGATTATCTCTACCTGAATGCATACAATATACAAAAAACATACAATACACAAAACCACGTATGATCTTTTTGCCAAGATACAATTTATTCTTAGACAATTCATTAATTTAATTAGGACATAGTAAGCTGGAATAACTTTAGCTGGAAACATGGTTAGGAAAAGTGTATCCTAGACAGATTATGTAAAAAGGAATTTGTAAGACTTAGGTCAGCCCCGATACAAGACCCTTGAAGGGGATTTGAGGCAAAAACAGCCCCCTGTCATGGTGAATGCACTCTTGTCAAGTGCAGACATCATCTGAATCAGTGATTCTGGAGAATAGAAACCACCTTCTGGTTGGATGGGTTTTGACACAAAAGACAATGTTCCTGAAAGCAGCAGGGTAGGGAGTTGTGCATGTTTGATTTATTTTTCCCACCCATTTTTTTTCATTTAAAGGCAGTATATTATATTGTTTTCTGTGTTTCAGACATCTATTACTTTACATGTTCATTTACTAATTAATTGAGTTCTTTTCCCTTTCCAACAATTGTACTGCCAACTGTTAGTTAGTTAGTTAGTTAGTTAGTTAGTTAGTTAGTTAGTTAGCTGCAGAAAAAAAAATAGCAAGATGTCTGGCTAATATACAACCTACAACATGAAAAGAAAAGGTAGTCTCCCAAGGTATGTAGGTATAAACAACATCGAATATCTGTACAACAAAGACAATTCTATCATCAGTGGGCAAAAATCCAGGAATGGAAAGCCTAAATTCCCTGCTGAAGGGGAAAGGAGAGTATGAGAGAGAGGGAGGGCAGAGTTAAGAGAGGGAATTAACATTACTGCCCTTACTCCCTGCAGTGCTGTTTTCCCCTACTCTCCACGTATGCGGGATGTCTACACTGAAGTATCCATTTGTTGCTTTTGGGCTGTGATTTTGGTATGGGTCTCACAGGAAAGCTGATGGGTTCAGTGACGGGTGGTCATTGGAGGATCATGGTTGACATCCTGTGAGAAACTGTGTTGTGCCAATGAGTCCCTTCTAACAGCAGCTTGAAAGACCAGCTGTGACAGCAGCCAAGGGCAAATCAAACTCAATCTATCTCACAAGGTGGAATAACAAGTGACAAACTGAATGCTTGTGGTCTTCAGTAAATTTATATATCCATAATATAGTCTTGAAAGATATTGCTTAGCATGTCGGCAGTAAGTTTAATTCCCCAGTGGAATTGATTGCTTTATTAGTACAGTATCAGTTAGGGGTATTCTATGGGAGGGACTCTATCCAGACAAATTAAGATGTGATAACAGTATTGATTGTCTTGTCTTTTTACTAGTTATTTGTTTTATCAGATTGCTTGCACTTAAAAAGCTCTGAGTTACAGTAAAAATGTTTTCTACTCACATGAGGTTTTACAGCATGGAAAATTGTAAATGTAAGGACCAAATAACTCTTAAGTATAAAACCCCACAGAGTTATTTTGCTGGGTCAGCTCAGTGTTTAACTTTCTGACCATTTTTACGTGTTAAACATATATACAATTTTTGAACCCAGTCTGAGATCTAGAGCCTTTGAGGAAGATTAAGGAAAGAATTAGAGATTTCAAAGCAATTAGAGCAAAATCATTTAATGATCATAGTTTTGTCAGGTCTTGCTCAAGTAAATAGGTGTGAAGGACATGGAAACACTAACCTATGTTTGGGAGAAACTTGACTGCAATGAGAGGAATATCAATAGACATTTCCTGCAATAACAGGTCCTGCAAAATTCCTAATTTAATACCTCTTGGCAATAGCTGTGCCTCATTCTAGTTTAATTAACTTGCTCTGTAAGTTGATTAAGTCTCAAAGTAGTAAGACCTTGTTTAAAAAATGCGAGGGTATCACGCATAGATTGATTATGAACCATTATTATATTTAACTTTGTGCCTAGTTAAAACTAGAGTAACACTCAGGTGGAGGTGAACACCTTGTGGGCCTTATTTAACAGATTAAAGGAGAGATTTGTGGTTTGCTTAATTTTATTTTCTTAAAGAATAAAGGGACTTGTATTAGTTTTATCTTCTGAGCTGCAGGGTTTAGAGTGGTGCTCTAATGTATTGTCCATGTCCATTCAGACATGCAGATCTGGCACTTGGGGACACGGTTTAGTGGTGAACTTGGCAGTGTTAGTTTTACAGTTGGACTCAATGATTTTAAAGGTTGTTTCCAACCTAAATGATTCTGTGACTTCATACAATCAAATTACACTTTAAAACTTCTGCATGCCAAATTATTCTAACTATCCAGGAAGTGCAATATTGTCTGATAAATGAAAATTTAAATGACTTTTACAGAACTGTGCACATATGGGTTTTTTGGACAGTCCATAGCTTCAAACACAGTCCATAGCTTCAAAGTATTTCATGCTTTTAAGACTTGGTGGTTAAGAAACTGGGGGCAAAATACAGAACCTCTATCTCCCAATCTTTTTTAGAGTGTATTTCAGATCAGTAAGTAATGATTGAAAGGTTTTAGTGATTGATATGAAATGTATCAATACCCTCGTTTGCAGTAGATAGTTGATAGCTTTCTTGATACCAGCTCCAAAAGCAAGAGAATTGGTTATCAAGAAATATTAAACCATTCTCTCATTATCAGAGGGGATCCTTCCAGGCCACCGTTCAATCATATTGCCTGGGTAGCATAGCAAAGTAGGTCCCCTTTTGCTTAGAGGTGAT